TCCAGCCCCCCTGACCTCCCCTCCACTCTTCCTGGCCCCCACCCTCTGCCAGGGCTTCAGGTCCCTGTGAAGTCCACTCCCGTGAACACTGGTACACCCCCATCCATGTGCCAAGCCTGGACACTGTTCCGGGGGGGGGCAATGGAGGACATGTGGGGAGATGGGGGCTCCTGGCAGGGAGTGTGCTGAGGGGCCCTTACCCGCCCTCCCCCCCGCCCCCACGCCAGCCCTGCAGGTCAGAGCCCCAGGGGGTCCCTGTGTTCAGTTAACCTCAGTCTCACCTTCCCACAGGTGACAAACCGCTACCTGTCCCAGCTAAAGGATGCACACAGGTTCCACCCCTTTATCAAGGAGTACCAGGCCAAGGTGAGCCCCAGACCCCCCAGGCCCACAGGGAGGGCTTGGAACTCAGGTTTTGACTCACACGTGTTTTCTTTCTCTTTTGCCCCCATTTCGTGTTGAAGGAAAATGACTTTGACCGGCTAGTACTGCAATATACTCCCAGCGCCTGAGGCCGGCCCCAGACGCAGTTTCCTCAGTGGGAAGGCGAGGCCCAGCCGTGCTGCTCTCCCTGCGGGGCACCCGCCTTCACCCATCCTCCCTCACTTGGGCTGGCCAGGCAGAGGCTGGAAGCCCAACCCCCTTCTGTCAATAAACGTCTCCACTCCGGGCTCCCCACCTGAACCATGTTTGCGCTGGCCGTTTTGCGAGGGGCGTTTGGGAACCAAGGCTGGGACAGGAGGGGCCTGGCACGGGGTCCTGGAGACCAGGGTCTATGAACAGCAGCTGTAGGGACTCCTTTGCTCCTCAGAACAGCTGCCCCATACTGCTGAGCTGAAGGCACAGCTGTGTCCCCCCAGCCCAGTTGGCACGCAGGGAAACAGGCACAGAGAGGCCACAGCCATCAAGAGGAGCAATAGGGTTCAAACCCAGGACCTCCAGGTGGTCTGTAGGTGGTGAGGGGGCTGGAAGTGCTCAAGCCGCAGCATGGCTAAGCGAGGAAGGAGTGTGTGGGGCCCTTGTGGGAGTAAACATCCGCCTCCCCAGGCCCCTGCTCCTTGGAGTCAGCCAAGTTTGAGACCTGCTGTGATTAGGGCCCTGGGTGCTGGATGGAGCACAAGGGTGGAGAGAGAAAGGCATAGTGTTGCCCTTGGAGATAAGAGGAAGCAAGACAACAGGGAGGGGTGGGTAGTTGGGGTAGGAGGCCTCTGTCCACCCAAACAATAAGAAGTTGCTGCCTAGAGAGAGAGGAAGGGAGAGGCACAGAGAGATGGAAACATCGATGAGAGAAAAACATCCATCAGCTGCCTTCTGCATACTCCCTACTGGGGATCGGACCTGCAACCAGGGCATGTGCCCTGATGGGGAATCTAACCAGGGACCTCCTGGTTCATGGATTGATGCTCAACCACTGACCCACACCAGCCTGGCCAGAATATCATATTTTAAACTATATTTTTTAAAATAGATTTTTAGAGAGAGAGAGAGAGAAATAGAAACATCCATGAGAGAAACAGCAACACCTATTGGCTGCCTTCTGCATTCCTCCCTGCTGGGGATTGAGCCCACAACCCAGGCATGTGCCCTGACCGGAATCGAACCCTGTGACCTCCTGGTGCATGGGATGCTGCTCAACCACTGAGCCACACTGGCCGAGCACTGACAGAATCTCTTAAATGAAGCTTGCTTTGATTATGCTGTAATATTAGGGCTCATGTTTTGACTTTTCTTTTACATTTTAAAATGCTATGACATTGATGTATTGCTAAAGGTATCAGTTTGGAAATATTATAGCCTTTCCCTATTTTATAAAAACCAGCAAAAGTGTAAACTACAAAAGAAGTGATTCAGAAAAATCTTTTAATAAAAGTTTAAAGTCTTCAAAAAAAAAAAAAAAAGAAGAAGAAGAAGTTGCTGCCAGGCCAGCTTCTGGGGGACAAGCATCTTAGGTAGCAGGAATAGTCCATACGAAGGCCCTGAGGCCATACTGGGCTCCAGGAGCTGGACAGGGTTTCTTGGCCTTTGTCCCTGGACCAATCTCTGGTTCCTTCCCAGGAAGAAGATAAGATACTTGAGTTCCCAGTGTCTGGCCTCATCTGCCGTAGGTGGCTACCCAAACTCAGTCCCTGGTTGCCAAGACAGGACACAGAGCAGGGGACCCCCTTCAGTAGAGCTGGCCCCTAGACTTTCCCTGACTGTGGAACTTGGCCGGGGAGAGGTGCAGAGAAGGCCTCCCCAGGCAGGGGCATCAGTGGGGCGAGAGGAGGCCAGCCCTCTCAGTTGGGGCAGGAAAGCAGCACCAGCCATGGGACTTCAGCAGCCCCTTACCAGGCCCCTGGTGCCTGGGAGCCCTGGTTTCCAACTGCCAGCACCAAGAGCTACTTTCCATTCCTGCCCTGCACCCACCCGTTGGTAGCCTTCTATCTGGGCCCTGCCAGAATGAAACTAGAGGCTGGGCTGGTCTGCTGGGCAGGCCCTCTCCCATTACTGACGGACACCAGATAGTGCTGTGTGGTTGGGAAGACCCAGGGCTGCTCCACAAGCTGAGCTGGACCTATGGGGGCATATCCAGCCAGCCCAGGACCTCTGGGCCTCTGCCTGCCAGATTGGCTGTGGAATTAGTCACCCAATGGGATGGGTGGAACTCCCCTCCTCCCCGTCCCCCTTGTCCACGTGCACATTCAAAAATAGTAGGAGGTACAGCAGGACAGATGGTGACAAGTGCTAAAGAGAAGACTTGGGGGGGGGGTCAGGGAGGTACACTGAGCAAGTGACATTTGTAGGTGAACCCTGAAGTTAGAGGAAGAGGTACCCTGCCATTACCTAGGGGAACAACATTCTGGGCAGAGGGAATAGCCAGTGCAAAGGCTCTGAGGCAGAAGTGTGCCTGAGGTATTAGAGGACCAGGGAGGAGCCCAGTGTGGCTGTAATGGAGGGAGCAAGGTGGAGAGGAGGGCAAGAGGGCAGGTGGTGAGTCCCAGGAGTTGGGCTTTCACTCTGAGTAATGGAAACCACGAGGACTGTGAGCAGAGAAGG